AAAAAAGACATTAATAGTGTGCAATAGAGATGTTTAAACTGGAGCAGACACACATGCTCAGACATTTAGAACAGCGTTTTCAACCATTGTTGTAGTCAAGACCACCTAAACCAAGACCAAGACCAGAATGTATCGAGCAAGACTTTGAGGGGTTGATAACCCTAAAGTCAAGACCAAGACCAAGACAGGATGAGATCAAGCCAAAACCTAGAGAGGAAGAGACCAAGTTAAGACCAATACCAGAGTGAATCAAGGCCAAGTCCAATCCAAGACAGGACGAGACTGAGTGAAGACCAAGGCCAGAGTGTATCAAGGCTGAGAAAAGACCAAGTCCAAGCCATTGCGAGACCGAATCTTGACCAAGACCAGAGTGTATCATGACCAAGTCAAGACCAAGACCAATGCAGGGCGAGGCCGAGTCAAGACCATGAAAAGAGAGTATTAAGACCTAGACAAGACCAAGACTTTAGGGGATGAGACCAAGTCAAGGTCAAGACCGAATTTTGTGTGTGAATTTTCCTTTGTTTTCTATGTGCATTCACAGTAATGATATTAACAAATCAATCAGACAATGCACAGGCAGTTTAGTGATACAACCACAGAAATAATCCTCTTTGTCTGAGTAGAAATACTGTTGATTCAGTGACTTAGAAAAGCGTTCTCGACACCAAGACCAATCTTGAGTGCTACTGACAACACTGCAACCGACTACACTACATGACTACATTCAACAATTAACCACATTTTAAAAAACAAATCCCAATCTTAACCCTCAAACCAAAAACAGCCTATTACTATCACGTCTCTGTGAGGGCACTTTGATTCTTTACACAAAAAACAAAACAAGATCGTCATCACACAAGCATGTGGAGAAGTTGGGTGGCCAAAAGACAATTCTTGCCTTTTTCTCTCTCTCTCTCACACACATGCTTGGACAGAGCACATGACTTTCTGTGGGCTTTAAAATATGCTGCTGTGTTGAGGAGGTCTGAGGAATGCAGGAAGGATCTGAGTGGTATCGTCCTGCAGGAACCAATCTGACAGTCCTTGTTTGGACACTCCAGGTCCTGTATGTCAACCTCTCTCTCTCTCTCTCTCTCTCTCTCTCTCTCTCTCTCTCTCTCTC